GACGATAATGAGTATAAAAAAAAAATACTATTTGCTATATAAATATAAATGAATATAGAAGATGACATAAATATGATATTGACGAAATGCGAGTATGTTTACTCCCTATACTTACTCTATGAGAGCCTTTCGCTGTTCTATAGACACGTCGTCAGCGTAAACAAGTACACTCCGTGTATCTCGCGTCTGATAACCGTGATGCCATCTCAAATCTCTATTAGTTATGATTATAATTATTATATAATAGTAGTAACGAAAACAAAGATGTCCCTAATGACGGTGATGATGATTAATTACGTGTGGAGCAGTTTGTAGAAGGGGACGAAAAGATACACAGGCATATAAACATGAACAGAGAGACATTGACTGCAATTACATCAGGATGCCCGAACTCCTGTGATAGATAGCATAAAGAGGTACGAAACGCAAGCTAGATTGTATTCTAACGCTTTCCTAGGGTTCGGGATTTGTCAAATCAAAATACGAAGGTTCGCACACAAACGTGACATTTAGTGTGTAGATTCGTAGACAACAAGACGCACGTAAGTGTCTATAGCCACACATTGGACATAAGAGGGAGCTGTGCTGCAAACCAATTTCTAATTACGTCTAATGTTTGTGGAGGAGAATACCATTATATTTAGGATTGAAGGACCAAAGTCCCATACTCTGCTACAAAAAAAAAAAAAGGTGGACCCCCCCCGACATCTACCCCACTCGCAGAGCTCATGTGTGAGAGAGAAACAAGACACTAAATTTCCCCGGTTACAGTCTAAAATATATATATATATATACACATCTACAAATACATAATATGACTTAAGGTGTTTATTTTTTGATGACGTATGCGGTGATGAAACGACGATAATGAGTATAAAAAAAAAATACTATTTGCTATATAAATATAAATGAATATAGAAGATGACATAAATATGATATTGACGAAATGCGAGTATGTTTACTCCCTATACTTACTCTATGAGAGCCTTTCGCTGTTCTATAGACACGTCGTCAGCGTAAACAAGTACACTCCGTGTATCTCGCGTCTGATAACCGTGATGCCATCTCAAATCTCTATTAGTTATGATTATAATTATTATATAATAGTAGTAACGAAAACAAAGATGTCCCTAATGACGGTGATGATGATTAATTACGTGTGGAGCAGTTTGTAGAAGGGGACGAAAAGATACACAGGCATATAAACATGAACAGAGAGACATTGACTGCAATTACATCAGGATGCCCGAACTCCTGTGATAGATAGCATAAAGAGGTACGAAACGCAAGCTAGATTGTATTCTAACGCTTTCCTAGGGTTCGGGATTTGTCAAATCAAAATACGAAGGTTCGCACACAAACGTGACATTTAGTGTGTAGATTCGTAGACAACAAGACGCACGTAAGTGTCTATAGCCACACATTGGACATAAGAGGGAGCTGTGCTGCAAACCAATTTCTAATTACGTCTAATGTTTGTGGAGGAGAATACCATTATATTTAGGATTGAAGGACCAAAGTCCCATACTCTGCTACAAAAAAAAAAAAAGGTGGAAGTCAGAAGTCGTTGAAGAACGAAAGGTCGGAGTTCGTTTTATTGATAAAGTGGCGATTGTCAAACGTCAATACTTCACACGGACAATATAACAAAGAAGGCAAAAACAAAATGTCTGTAGTTAGGTAACGATGCACATATGATTACCATTATTATATGTTTGTCATGATGTCTTATTGCGGATACAACAGTCTATATATTATATTATGAAATGACAGTGTCGAGACTATATAAGTAATATAATATTAAGATAAATTAAAATGAAGATGATCATTCAATGAAAAAGAGTATAGCAGAAAAAAAAATCAGAAAAATAAAGTTAATAATGAATGTCCCTTAAGTGTGTACTGTTTATTATTATGTTACCTATCTAGTTACGTAGGTAGTAAAATCTGGTCGTTGAAATTTAGGCCCGAGGATCCCTATGCGTTCAACACGACTAGAAGGAACTTACCCAAATGTTAGATATCATGGCTTCATTTAATATAGAGCGCTAATTCGCCGATTCGAGATGATGCCGGGAAAATGTCTTCTTGCAACCCTGTGTAACTCCACTTGTGCTTTGCTGCGGAACTGCAACGCGATGGCGCTTAAGCGTCAACGCAGTACCACTGATGACACGGCGTGGTTCCGGCTGATAGTGCCTGTGTTGGAAATGCGGATCCCAAATGCGTACCTGAGTAGATCCAATAAAGACGACTTTATTGTTGCACGCACTTGTCTGTAATATAAGTTGCATGTAGTTACATCCGTATCACTTTTCATGACTCCCACTTATCTCTCAACGAGTTAATTTAATCCTTTTCCATCAGAAAATGGATTGGAGAACTCATCTAGTCCGGTCATGAAACTAGCTCCATTCGCCAGTGTCTGGAAAAAGTGGCAGTGCATAAGCCTGAGGCCTGGGGAGTGAAATTGACCCAGAAGAGCTTTCCACTCAGGTTCTCGTCTTTTACAATGTTTGCGGCACGCTGCCTGGCGTCTATTGTTGTGAACAAAAAAAAATAAAAAATTTGCTTAGTATATCGGCTCTTTTATGTTGGCTGGCCTCGTTCAGTCGACGCAACTGGTCCGCAAGCATTTCCGAATGCATAAGATCCTCCGAGTCCTATCAAATGCAAACGGTGGTCTTTTTCGGATAGGGATCTGGCGTAGCTCAGTGCTAAGGCCTATGTTTTGGGGCTACCCACTCTATTTCCGACTAATATTAACGTACAGATCCGTTTCTCGTTATCTTTAGTGTGTAGCATTTCTGTGACGAAGCCGATCATAGAAATGATGAACAAGTAGCGGACTAATAAAAGCTGAAAAAAAACAACTGGAAAAAGAGAATGGCCAACACCTATGTCCTAATTTTTTTAGGGTCCACGCGAAGGTATGTCTCTATTATTACGCTGATAGAATGTTTTGCACGAGATTACAGCGTTGTAGATTTGAGAAGTAATTTTAACAGCTAACGTCCAGTTGTCGATTCGTATCGGTTATTTTGGCAAAATTAAGGTGTTATTTTTTAAAATATTTAACAACAATGATTGCTTTTTGTGAAATTTGTTCTAATCGCAAATTGTGAGTTACGAAACATTTCAATTTTCGCCCCATTAAACTACTGACTGTTCTTAAAGACGATACGGTCGCCCCCAGCTGAAGCTTAAAATATCCTCCAACCTTATTGATCACCTTATTGAATTTAGTTGAAACGCATTGCAGTGCCGCACTTCTAGCGATGTATGTAGAAAATATCGATTTCTTAACTTTTTGTTGGCGCCTAGGGCTACATTCAAGCCTCTAACATGAAACACACAAAATTTCAAAAAACAACTTCATAGTCATACTGAATGACTTAGTGGGGCACAAATTCAATCACATAAAGCACATTTTTTTAACATATTTACGATAACGAATATAGAATAAAAACCATGCTGAGTGACAACCATGTTTTAATTGAATCCATTTTTCTAACAAGGTGACCAGCGCACGGCATAAACACGTAATTGAAAAGACGCGCCAGGAAGGCCACTAAAGAGGAGGGGGCGAAAGGACCCGACTAAAATATTTACGAAGAAAAGGAGCTGAAGAAGCAACGCGAACGGAATTTGAATGAGGACCTCTTAAGATCTGTAAATTAAAGTTAAGCTATAAAACAGAAAACAAGGCTAGCCATTCGACTAGAAACCGTCCCTTGATCATAGTTTGTCTTCGTCCTGATCAGGACGTGGCAGAAACTAACCTATTCGGTAAGGATTATGTGATTCAATTTTTTCTTGCTTTTCCTAAAGTTACACACTTGACGCCTTCAGACATATTGCTCTAGCTATTGCTAGTATTATAATTGATCTTTAATATATTGAACCTGCTAAACGCATATCTCTATCTGTTCTATTAAAGTTAACGGCTGTGTCACGCCGTTTAAGTTAATAGTTCTGCACTTTTAAGGCGGAAATCTCAGCTGTAGCGTATTAGAGTTTATTGTCGATTGTCCATTACCTCATTGTAAAGCGCACTCTATACAATGTATAGTTCCACTCTGTAATATATTTACGTTAAGTATATTATTATTATTATTATTATTTTACTCTAGTTCATTTGTTCTAGAGCTTTAAGGTCTATTTCCGGAGAATACTATTAGAAGGGATGCCTTTTGCATTGCTTACTAGTTTCTTTAACGTGGCCGAATCAAGGCCACGCATCCAATGACCTGGTACGCTAGCTTTCGATTCACTGTTATTATTACTATGATTAGTAATTTATTTTATTTTTTTGTTTTATATTTACAAAAAAGAGAATGGAGCAGCATAGTTTATCTTAAATTCCATGGTACATGCCTACATATACGTGCCACGTGCCTAGCGAACGTAAAAAGTTTGAGTATAGTTTTGAAGCAATGAGTTTGAACATTGGGTAATTTAAAGTTCCTATTATTTACCTGCGTTAAGAGAGTTTAAATTTGCTAGTCAAATCTGTGATACTTATAGCGAATATTACTTAATAATACTTATGCATACTACGGCGCAAATCAATATGCTGTTACTTACATTTGCACGTGTATCCTAGGTTCGATACCTAACAACTGGCAAGTGACCGCAAAGATTTGGCCTGTTAACGTCTCTTTCACAGGCATGAGTTGACGACGCGCTCGATGACGGCATCTCCGGTACATCGGTGTCAACGAAAAAAGCGAAAATAGAAATTACAAAGATATCTGTCGCGGATACAAAAGGACTCCAAGCTAGACGAAAATTTGTAGAACCGACATTAATGAGATCAATCTTCATCTATAGCGGTATCCCTAAAAAAAATGTTTCCAACCTTTGTCGCTACACACCTGGTCAGCACGCTCGTCCACATGGGCAACACGTCCCATAGGTGAGAAAGAGTAATCTATTAGTTGACTATCTGATGGTGTTTTTTTTTACACAGAATGTTTAAAGGGGCTAACAGCATCAAATTATCACAGTCAAGCAAATAGGACATCTGAACAGTCGAAACGATTGTTACGCTGCTGTTGTTACCCAGAAGCCCCGGCGAGTGGGGGACTATGATTCAAACATTAGCGTTGCCCATTATCGTCTCATTAAATGGTGGGCAAATAATAATAATAAGGCGATTTCAAACAGTTTTTAGGGAAAACTCAACACAATGTTCATAAGTTACGCATTTGACGCCATTAAAGACGATTTTGTGGCTAACTAACTTATTGCAAATGGTAAAAGTTCAAATAAAGTGCGTTGCTGATGTCAAACGTTTGAGGTTTCGTAACTGAATTGATAAAGAAATAGCTAATTAAAAATAAAGTGTGCTTTTTGCATCGAATGCGCTTAAGATACCCTTTGGCTATCCTGAATCGACCTTTGGAAGGAAACAATTTGTCAAGACAAGGGAAATTAAATTGTCTTAACTCAAATGTTCTCTTATTGTGGACCTATCACATGTTTCTCTGCAGCATATAAGCCCTATAAAGCCGTCGAAGTTCTACGTACAAACGAAGAAAAGATGCCACAGGGCATTACTCAGTCTCTTGTTTAATTGGTCGCGCTTTTCTGTTATAGTGTATAGTAATGCACCCCGCGGTTGGACTCAGCCAGTCAGTAGATGGATCGGTGAATGGATGGATACTTCTTTTTTTAACTGATGATTAAGTGGCATATGAATAGGAATGTAACAGATATCGAAATATACATAATCTTATGGCTTCTTCTTGAAGAGCACTGAAAAAGCGTTTCACCTTTCAATTTGTTTTGTATCACAAATCAATTGAAGTCGTTGGATCGATCAGTCGATATTTTCGGGTGTTGTCATTGTCAATATATGTTGTTATTGTTGTTGTTGTTGATGATGCTGTTGTGTACTTGTTCTTCCTGTTGCTGTTGTTTATTATTATTATTTTACATTTCTTCAACAGGCTGACGCAGTGTTGTCTGAATGAGACGTACTGTATCTCCGTTGACACTGAAAGGTAATTTTAGGTGGTTCACCTTTCAAACCTAGCGCCCTTTTCCATTTAACCTTATGGTTTGCATTTTTCGTCTGTAGCTTTCGCTAAAATTACGTTTTACCCCACTCTGTTCAGTGCGGCAATCCTACTAAATAGTATATTTTTTCTTCATGGATCCGTGTTTTCCTCTTGCTCGCAAAAATGACTTCTATACGTCTCTACCAAGCAAATAGGTAAAAGATTTAGTGGCTAAAATCATTTGAATTATACTTGGCGCCTATACAAGGTCGCAGCTCGTAACGAAACGGCCTGTTCTTCGTTCCGTATGATTTGGTAACAAATAACAAGCGACTAGTTTTGCCTGGCTAAGATAGAACTGTATTCTCACTTTTTTTTTTTTTTTTTTTTTTATTAACTTCTCACTAGTGTTTGTTGTAATAGAATACATAGACACGTGTTCCTATTGAAGGCAGGCATGAAAATGCTGGGTTACGGGCAATGCAAAGAAAACACAATACTTCGTCATGTTACACGTAGTAAAAAAAAGGCTATTGCATTTCCCAACTGAGGTACCCTGTGCCGTGTGATCCCTGTGATGATATTCCTACGTTAGCAACACGGAGCACTCAGTAAAGATGAATTTGTACCTGACAGTTATACCTGATTTATATAACATTTGAGTTGCTATTAGTATTGTTCTACTTTCATTTGACCACGAGCGGTGTACTTGGCTTCTCAGATATTAATATATATATATATATATATATAATGGGCTAGGTTTAGGGATCAATTTGTATTCAAACTTAGCGTTTTATTTGATAAACCCTATCATTGTTAACTGCTGCTATTATGTAGTGGCTGTTATGCTTATTTTTTGCACTTTGAACCAGAACTTTTGGCGTTAGCTTTTAATGCTGATGAAGTATGGCGTTCTTATTCGTTTTTTCATTACAGGTATCCGGACCTGCTCATAAAACCTTCTACAACACCTCTACCTTCTTTTCATGACCCCATTGGGTGGGGTCCCCCTGAGCTGCACACACTGCCAACATTTAACCGAAGCAAAAGTCCCTTTCTAGAAGGATTTTACCTTAACAAGTTTCACGGTATTGACCAGGTACCCAAAGAAACCATCAACAAACAAGAGATCATTGCAAAAGACCAGATCTATGATTGAGTAGATGTATCTTTCTTTCAGTCTCGTCGCCTGAGTAAAAACTGTTAGGAAACGGTGGCCAAAAAATCGGTCAAATCAAACTAACGTTTTGACCCTACTGTCATATCTTACTGACTTAGATTTACAGGTTTCTCGAAGCCATTACCGAGTCGTCGAAATTAGCTACACTGTTAAATTTAGGGTTTACATTTGAAACTCGACCATTGTTAGGATTGATGGTATGTTAATCTAATGTATATATATACGGGGAATATTGGGTATTTGTTTTGCTTGTAAAAATTTTCAAATTGATCGGAATTTGTCTAGATATTATTTAACTGAAATTATATACCTGTATATCATTATCATTCTGTTAAGATGAGGCCTTGTTGCCGACTTAGGTGCGCAGGACAGGGCCTCTCACGCTCGAAGAAAGCTCGCGTACTGTTGTTCGCCATATGATTTCCAACTATCACCGACAGTCCGTTACGTTTACGTTGGGGTAGTATTTTAAATATTGGAGAAGCATTATAAATTTCTTAACCTGTTTTTATTGATCCCTGGCCAGATTACATCTCGGGTACGGCCCGATCCTCGAGATCCAGAGGCACCTGCCATCGTATTCGTTGAATGCGGGATGCACGCTCGCGAGTGGACTGCGCCAGCCGCTTGTCTGTTAGTAATACACCAGCTTGTCTCTCACTACGACAAGGATACAGAGGTAAGTCGAGATTTGAATCGGAACTTTTAAGTTATTTCGTCAACATATTGTTTCAACTGTAGATAGACTAAGACACGTTTTAGAGACGAAGACATGCTTAAAAAAAGCTACAACCAATTAATAATCGCAGCTCTCCCTGAATTGCCGAAGCAGGTGCGTCGAATGGTAGACGATTTTGAGTGGCGTATTTTTCCTGTCATGAATCCCGACGGATATGCTTACTCAATGAGTGTTGATCGACTTTGGAAGAAAAACCGAAGCAAACTTCGACCCGCTGACAAAAACGGAGGCTCCCCTTTCTCGAACTGTTCTGGCGTAGACCTTAATCGAAACTTTGACACTGCCGAGTTTTGTGGTAAGTAAGTAATGGTAACGGAATCTTGAAATCAATCCATAAATATAATTAACTTAGAAGTGGTAAATCATTCGTAAATGAGTAACTCTAAAGTAGATCTAAATCTAAGTTAGCAAACTAATCCATTACCTTGATGCTTGTTGAATAAAGCGTTGTTCGATGAAGATCATTGATATTATATTATCCACCATATTATGGCATTATTTCCGAAGCTACAGGATACGTCAGTAGTCTGTGTCTGATTCAATAGCTCCAACATGGAAAACAACTACGGGCGGCCACTCAATATTATTGAAGCGAACTGAAGTAGTAGGTCGATTATTTTTCGTGCGGTGCTACAAGTTGCACCATCTTATTGAAACCAAAGCCTGTCTGCGTCCAGTATGTTCATTTCGAGGTGACATATAACACGTCACAACAGAGCTCGCCATTTCATTGCCGTTGGCATTCCATTGTCATGCTCGAAGGGAAAAGGCCGCGTGACGAACCGAATGCAGCACCACACAGTGACTCTTCTGAGTGAGACACATATCCTTAAGCTTTCTGAGCTCTCAGATGAGATCAGTTTATTTACCATCATAACCATTCAGCTGAAAATAAATATGGTGTGATTGAATGAGTGGCTATTAAGTCCCAACAGGCGATCAAACCGCCCCTATGGCGGTCCTGGATCTTTCGTTGTTGAGTAAACCTGTAGAAATGAAGACGCAGTTCTTCCCTCATAATAAGTCGTATGATCCTATACGATAAACCTAGTTCTTGAGCCTGACGTTGTGTTGAGCCTTTTAGATGCGCATCGATACTGTTCCGTACCGCAGGAATGTTACTTTTTTGTGCGATTCATAGTTTCTCAGGCCGATCTTTTTCGAATTTCTTAGACAGCCGTCTAAAAGACATCTGTCAACAAGAAGTGTCATCAGCATTCTGTGGCATATTTGTGAAGGCGTCATTGCCGTTGACTTTCCATCTTGACTGCAAATTTTTTATAGAAAACAAAGACTGTTCCAAACCGTAGCGTTCCATCAGCGCATACGACAGATGCTGACATTTATATTACTTGGTGTTCTAACAGTCTACAAACACAGACGAACCGAAATGAAGCTGAACGCAGATAGTTGGCACAACCTATAGATGAACTCTGCCGTATAGTGTACACATGATAAGCACTAACTAATTTATTCATCCTATAAGAAAATGCAAACCTTCAAGATCCATGCGGACCAGATTATTGCGGGCGTCATCCGTTTTCGGAGCTCGAGACTCGCGCCCTGAAAGACCATATACTAGGACTCCGCAGGTAAGTATCATAAGCATGACTTGTTTACCGCCTGACAAAAGTGGAGGGTAACTCTAATAGAACACTGAGAGGCTGAATTTAAGCTTTGGAAAGTAACAACACTAGGAGGTATATGTATTTTTGATATCAGCGAGTGATCGGTAACTACATCAGAAGAAACATTATGGATACAAAGCTCTATACTAAGGGATAATAAATATGTCAAGCTATCAGTGAGTAACCTTTTCTATAGGTATAGAAATGAGATGTTGCGCCTTATTTTTACGGATTTTATTATTCAATGGCCAAAACCATTTTACGATGAGCTTCGGCACACGACCTCCATAATAGAGACGCTATTCTTCGGACCACTCGTAACGTGGCGACAGGTGTGTACTTCGGTTTGCCGCTTTATAGTAGCAAAAATAAGACGTATCTTGTCGTTTTTTTGCTATTCTACATCGACTATATGGGTGCTGAGTAAAAGTGTATTCAATAAAGGCTGTCAAAAGGTGTGACGTCAATGGTAGGCTTACAGAGGGCAACTTATTGGTGTCGCAGACGGGAATCAGTAATCTGGGACGTCGCCTGTATAGAAAAAAATAAGTTGTCAAATTCCAAAACGACGAAACCATGAATAGGACAGGAGGTCAAAAGCGGTGTTCGAATGACGCCAGCGAAGAATCCCAAAGTTCAAAACGAATACGTTTTAATTCTGTTTACGAAGATAGACAAGAAGATTACGTTGGACGGGGATCTACACGCCGACCCCGAAAATTCAAGATTTTTACCATTAGTTCATTTCTGTTTCATGACGATATGAGATCGGCCAAGCCGTGCGTAGACTATAGTGGACCGCAAGGTTGGAGTTCCGAACTCCACAATGCGCACGTAGAGAACACATACTATAGCCTCTGATCGAAAGCAGTACTCACCCTCTGGTAAATTGGGGCGATGCAAGCGGAAAAATAAGCAGTTTAGAAAATATGCCAATACACGCGACTATAATTATCATTTGAAATAAATGACCAGAATTCTATTACGACCGATCTATGGGGATCGCTGTTTTTGCGAATGTTTTTTCATCAATTTGATGAAGCTGCATGTTCGACGTAGAACTTCAACTATGGCGGAGTGTGTGTAGTGGAGGCCAGTGCGGGTTAGGTTACTCTGTGAGTCGTTAAGAATCGACAGTTACGCTAACTCAATGATCAGGTTCAAGAGGGAAAGCATAAATGGAAGGAGGCAAGCTTCTGCCTTCGTAATAGACCACAGTTTTAATGTTACAAACTTTTATTTTGTCATCCATTTCAATATTCGGTGTTACTGTGCCTGACTCCATCGTGACGCAAAGGGCACGGTCACGTCAGAGTCGGATTCAGTTCTATTTTTCAGTGCATTCATATGCCCAACTGTGGATTTTTCCTCATGGTCACCGAAATGGCAGTTTGTCTTTGGAAGAACGACGCCGCCTTGAGGGGGTTAGCAGAGGGGCTGTTCACGAAATATCGAAAATTAAAGGCGGCTTCGGTCAATGGAGATATGGAAATATCACACAGCTTCTTGGTACGTGAAAGAACACACACAGTACCTAAATTTTTCCTTCTATCAATTTAGCAGATTAAAACGACCAAGTCTTTGTTTTCATCTCAGCCAGTCGAACGCCTAACATATGCACAAGCACACTCAAGATTTAAGCAAAGCCTATTTAGTGTCATGCAGCAGTTATTATATGCGTCATAATGTAAATCGAGCATTTCGAATACCTTTCACGATCATTTCAGGCTATACGGGTCCAGGAGCCTCGACAGACTGGGCGTTTGATTCGGCCGGGATATTCTACTCGTTTGCAATCGAACTGGGTCCGCATAGTTCAGTTGGAGAAACTTTCGGGTACACAGTCTCCGAACTGCAAATTCCTCGGTCTGCCACCGAACTCTGGGTCGGGCTCAAGTATTGCACACTCAACTATTAGAAGTAGAAATTGATATCACATCGGCATCGAAAGTATAGTCGTCGGTCGCTTGTCTCAATAGCATCGTATAAACATTCATCCGGAATTCCACCTTGATTAATTGGTGGAACAGCGACAGCACAGAAGAAGTTTTTAAATTCTCTGTACCTAAAAATATTTTCCTAGTTAATATAGGTCGTCGGATAAAGTATTATTTACTATGGATTTGATTTAGGATAAATCTGTCATCTTCGAGTGCTACATCCTACAAATGTAGGCGGTTGGCATTGGCCATATTGCACCAAGTTACTTCAGTCGATTCTAAATACCTGCACACACTGTAAATCCTTAATTTCTCTTCAGGTTTATCGAAAATAGTCTATTTATTCTAGGTAGTGAATCACTCACCTTCGCGATGACTAAACGTTTACTATTTGTTAATCAGAAGGTTTCTATGATCTCGACAGGATACAAAATGTCTCCGCTGTTTCCGGAGCTAGATTTGCTGTATGGGTTAAGGCAAAAGGGAAATTGGCGAATGCCGTTAAGGTTGCGGGCCGTATAGGACTTCTATTCGATTTTGATATGTCAATGAGCCTTGGATGAGCCTCTTCTATGAAATAATGGTATAATAAAAAACATTGAAAGCTAGTCGAGGATATTTCACCTGGTATAGTGTGTGGGCAGAGAGTAAGCTCAGTCGTTTAATCATAGCAAATATCGTTCGTCATGGCTGTCCTCTTGAGTTGTCGTTCTTGACAAACGCGTTCTTGAAGGTACTAGGGTGCTAATATACGACGCTTATATGTCAGTTTAGTCATAATTAGTAACCACATAAAATAGAACATTCAAAGAATAGAAACGTGTTAAAGTATCGAAGCCTAGTTCTATAATTTGAGCAAATGTACATTGTTACTGTTGAATCGGCCGCATCTACCGTGTGTGATATAAGCACTCCGTAAAACAAAAACTCACGGAATAAAGAGAAATTACCTTGAATAAGTGAAGGCTTGGGAGGTTTCACTAATTATAATGCTTGGATTAGGTACACGCAACGTTCGACGTGGGCCTTTTATCATGTTGATATTTCTTCCTAACGAAAATGAAAAGGTCATAGAGGTTCAGAAATCAGAAGAAGAGCGGAGCTCAAAAACAGGTGCGAGCAACGCCGCAGAACATAGTTCATCTAATGAACATACGAAGTAATACTCCTCAAACACTGTGTAAATATTTCAATCACAGTAAACAGAGATCTTCTTCGTAAATTATTATTATTACTGCATTACAATGGTATTTTTTGAAAGCGCTACTTAGTTATTCTCACATTTTTATGACCCTATTGTTGCCGAACTAGGCGCGTCATTCTTCCCACCTGACGTTATTTCCATAATTACGACTTTTACTCGCTTGTTACCAGTGTTACTACTCAGTTCAATAAATGTTCTAATCCCCTGCCCTTAGGAAGCGTTCTAGTCTCCATTGGCATCGGGGCAATGAAATAACCATCGTTAGGGCCCATGTACCTGCGCATCATCTCTGCGTCTATCTGCTTAGCTACTCTTGCTGCAATAAAACGTCCGTGATGAACGTAGGACCGAGCTAACGTACATGAAGCAGGTCGGTTCTGTAGTAAAGATTCGCTTTAAGATTATATTGGTATAGCTACACCACTCGGCCTTTTTCGTGATCTAGGGCTATAGCGCTTCATGCAAATGTCAACGACATTTCAGCTTTTCGTACTATCGCATCTAGTTCTCTATGTCCGGCCACCGTGACTGTACTCCGAGATATCTGGCTGGTGAACTTGAAGAAGGGGGGCGCGACATAAGAAACTGGAATTAAATCCGTAGCTGTTATCATTGCCAAGCTTCTTTCTCAAATTAGAAGGCAATTTCCCTTCCATGTATCGCCTGCGAAATCGAGGAGCTATATCTCACCAAAGGTTTTCCTTATCGTCTCATTATCATTTGCTTGAGACGTAGTGAAATACGTATGTATCTAAATGTCAGTGATCCAAAAACTGTACAGGAGGTATAAGGCGGATGGTGGGCGCATAGTAGCAGAGCTTTGGAATGAACATACCAAATAATATTCCCCCGCAAAATAACTGAAACAGTCTTCTTTCACTACGGTATTCTTTTGTTTACGAATTAAATCGATATTTATTAAATGTTTTGCTAGCTACCATAAAGATGCCGGGTCGAAAAGACCTCCAAACAACATCCCGACAGCTGTGAACTTCTAAAATTTTAGAGCTAGCGGTGGTTGAATAGCCGGTACATTCGTATCAATGGCGTATAAACTCGAACACGTATTCTTAGACCAAATTTTATCATTTCTATTAACGGCTAACGAAGAGACATATTGTTACAGGTTTACTGCTTTATTGATCATTTACTAGTTCGGGGCTTATTGCGGCTGGCAGTTAACGACCTAGATATTGGTCTTTTTTATTAAATTACAAAATCACTAACTATCGTGATATATGTCTGGTTTATATTCTGTTTACAACTGCTTCCACTCCATTGTTTTGTATCTCAGTGCTGCGATATGCATACAGACGTTATAATTTACGCAAAATACTATTTCTAGTGATTTGTCCTTTTGCGCTGTATAGAATCATTCTAATATAATAATAGCAACCAACTGAATAATAATACTATTAAATTATAGTATAATTATACCGTGAACAGGGTAGGGGGCCGATACGTTTAACGCTTATGGAAAAAGAAGGTACTTTGCATGTCTTGCAATAGCTTCATTATGATGACTAGCAATGACTAAGTGTGAATGAGCGCCGAAACATCCACCGGCGGGCTGGACCAATAATAATCAATATATTAATAACAATAATAATTTATGAATTAAAGAAAAAACAAACACTGAAAAGAACTATCTCGGCTTAGAAAGTTGAGTGGTTCACACATTGCTCCGGGTGTTTTACCCGTTTGCACAGAGCGCAATCCGTATCCACAAAACCTTTCATGTTTGCACAGTTAAGAATATCTTCATGTAGCTTCACGAAATCACTCCATATGTTTCTTCTTTTGTGCAATAAGTCTTCGGTGATTTAGAGGACTGTAACAATATGTATTCTAATTCTTCTATCAAATGTAACACAATCATAGAAGATTGGCCTGTGACGTTTTTGATTGAACTGTGTACCACTAACTACAGCCTAAGACAAACGGATTTTATCCCTAACTGAACAGGTCGCACAAGCCACATGTTAGCTGTTCGGGTACCAGTGAGATATCGACGAAGATCTGTCTATAGTTATACCTAGCCTATGGCATCACAATGTCTGGTATAGGGTAAGCAGCTGGCCGCATTCTGTATAGCCTCGGCGTTGATGATTGGGCCTGCGATACGATATGAAGTCAACAACTTTTTTGGAGAACGGTATGACGGCAGAAGCTTTTTCCTGAAGGTCTAATATATGCCCTCTATGAATAATTTTAGCTATACCGCTAACCAAACTGCTAACGGGTTAGCACGGGAATAGTCTCAATAACATATATACAAAGTATAAAAAAGCCGTAGGCCTTTGTCGGACTACTCGGATGAGACTGTTTTTTGTTTTTCAATAAAAAGAAAGCTGTTCGATATTTAACCTTTTTCTCACATAAATATACATTAAATTAACGCAGTGAATATGTTAAAATGGCACTCACAACAGCAAAAAGATATTCCAACTTTAACTAAATTGACTAACTGCCCGACTAAGCCTCTTAAAGAGAGAGCTATAGTAGTAGAATAATGGACAAGAAGAGGTTGAATCTTTCCGTTCCTCGATGTTAAGCCATCTAACGGGTCTCGCTAAAATCTAGCTTCTTTCAAAGATAGCAGCAGTAACAACGTGATTCATATTCATTGAATTTGAACAGCATCCATCCATTTGAGATATTAAAATAGGAAACGCTTGGCCCTATTCTAGAACGGGCTGTCGACGATGGCGACACCAGCGTAACTTCTGCCTTGTTGCATGAAGCTGTTTAGCATGGTCCACTCGTTCTTGGCAGGGTCGTAGACTTCAACACTGGCCAGATTACACGTACCGTCATCGCCACCGACAACGTAAAGCCGGCCCTCGTGCGCCACTACACCGGCATTTCGACGCGCTAACATCATGTCGGGAACAGCTCGCCATGCACCTACACACGGAGACACGCAAAACACGCTCACACTTAGTTCTTAAAGCTCGATCCATTCAGTTTTCCTAGTGTACCCGTTAACTGTTATGTTGGCAATGCTGTAGAAGGTGCTGGAAGCCAGCCGGCTAAAGTATCGGGCATAGAACTCGAAACATTTAATTTAAGATGCGGTTGAATGGACGAAAATCTTGTTTTCAAACGTAGCTAACTAGAGTTAACGTACCGTCAAGCACAAAGGCTACTTCTGCTCATATTCCGTATTATGTTCCTCTTTTGTAAAGTAGTCAAAATTTACGGTGTAAATTCGTAATAAAATATAGGTATGGGTCAGTTCAGTGTTATGGGCTCGACAAGAAAAAGTGCTTACTGCATTTAATATTGACTAAACAGACCTGCGACGGGCGCACCGGACCCGTGCGGCGCGAAGCCCATTGAGCCACCTGACGACGCAGATATAACACTTGACCCAGAAGATGAAGACGCCGCGTTAATAGTAGCGCTGGGTCCGTTCTCTGGGTCGAAGGGACAGAAACACTCGACGCTTTTGCGAACCACAGGCCCGTCATGGCCTCCCACAGCGTAGAGGCACCCATTCAAAACACCCACACCAGCACCCGACCTGTGAAGGTAAATCAAGCCAAACGCTTTTTTAGGCAAGTAAACGCGCAATGCAACAATTTAAGATTCTTTCAACAAACGCAGTCATTTTCATCATTCAATAATTATGCCATGCCATCTCAAGGTGCATTATGATATATTCTAAGACTGTGGATCAGCTTGCTTAATGTCCGAGTAAACTCGATCCTCGACCCACAATATACAGTTCGTTATACAATGTCAGCTCAAAATGTTTATCCATGTCACTATGAAGAATTATCTGCCGCAGCGTGTTATCATTTTATACAACAAAGTCATTAAGCATAAAGAGAAGAAGATGTATCGTACGCATAGGTTAGAGAAAATGGGTATCGGCTCAGAGAGAGCCCATTCGGCATCATTTCGTGTTAGGTGGTTTTTAATTCGGAACTGATTACAAGAATGACGTGAACGATATCCTTTAAAGACAAACTCAGATCTCAACGCGAACTTCCAGCTATCAGTAGAAGTATATAGCTGCAAGACAGTTCCATCACTTTAAAATATGTAATGCAGATATAAACGCAGGTAAGTCTCGTTAACTTCGTTTTGCTTTCGGCAAACAATCACAAAACTTTGCAAAACGATCACAAGGTTACATTTGTCTGGTCAAGCGGTGCATCACAAACCTCCTTGAGATCATATCGGCACATGGTCTCCACTCGTCTGTTTTAGGATCATAAACCTCAACCGAACTTAGACATTGTCTCGACGCGCCATCGTATCCTCCAACAGCAAATAAGAGTCCTCCAAGTACACCAACTCCTACACTGCTACGGCGGATCGACATAGGCGCGATATCGCGCCACTCAGCGACGCGGGGATCGAAGCACTCCGCTGTGTTCAACCCTAAATTGAAAAAAATCATGTTGAATATTTTTGCTTTTATTTATTGACACACAGATAGTGTATACATGCATGTTCGGGTATTCAAATTACCAAGGTAAATAGACTAGACCTCAAAGCTGGCGGAACTTTTAGGTCTCTAACTTAAGTGCTCCTGTGCTAAATATTAATATACATCGTCGATCAATAAGCCAAATGTGATTCAATCCAATCAATTGTTATTGAAAGTTAAATCCAACTGATCTGCTTATCCCTTGAATGCCCATTCAGCTATTATAGGGGGTTGCATTGTTCGTTCTATATTGGCATTACTTTTAATTGTATAAGTTCGCACGCGACTTGTCTGTCTTCTGTGATCAGCATTTATCGAAACTTTACGAACAACCAGGTCGATAGAAACCAATTAGAAACCGTCGCTTGCTAAGCGTGTGAAACGAATATTATACTGTGCTTATAGTACTCGTGTAACTAGCGTATCTCTGCGATCGGGTCACCCTGTTAAATTATCCCAAATTCAATGTACCTGTGGCACCGTCAAAACCGCCGACGGCGTAGATGACATTGTTTAAGACAGCCACTCCCAGCGTAGACCGGCGAGCCTCTAGCTGCGGAGCCTGAGTCCACTACAGTTTGATTCAAAAAAGGGAAAAAAAGTATGGCTAAGTTATAAAAACAAAAGGACAGAAAGAACAATGGACAACATAGAACGGGTGAACTATGAAAATTAGATTAAGTTATTATAACGAATGGTACGAAGTCCATGTCTACTCTAAAATGTTACCTTAAGGGATAACGTAAAAAAAAGCTCCCGCGAACTATTTTTTAGATTCGGATCAATTAGATTAGAGTCAATATGAAATTTCATATTGCAAGTAAAACCGTAACATCGGATGCGACAAACGCGTAAAGCAAAAATCGATTTTATAAACCTAATTTAGAAAAGACCAGGAAATCCTAACAAACCTGATCTCTTTGAGGATCGTATAGATCAACAGTTCGCACCCTTAAAGAACCGTTGAAGCCGCCAACTGCAAACACCTGACCGTTGAGTACGGCGACTCCTGCGCGGCACCTGCGTGATGGCAGGTCTGGCAGACTGACCTAATATGATCATTGTTTTGATAGAGAAAAATCAAGGATGTACATAGATCGCTGTACGTGTATAGGCATTCAATGGTTATTGCACATGGTTAATGTATCAACATGAATAATTTTATAAGGGCTGTAAGTTTGGGTAAATTCAGTCCATAATTAACTTTCCGTTTTCTATATGTAGACTTACCCATCTCTCTTTTTTAAAATCAAATCCTTCTACGGATCTGATTGCTTTTGGCGCTTGACCACCAACCACCATCAGGATCTACGAGATAAAACAAGATTCGATGAAGATCTTGTAAGTGATTCACCTTTATTTTTGGCTACTGATTCTCATCGCTACTTCTGTGTTATATCTATGTTCTCTGCGTGTCCTAATGATAGCATCGTAACTCATTTGAGCTAAACTCTTTATCGAAGTGAACAAATTGTCATAAATGAATGGCTGATCTACAAGGTTGGGATGTTTTAATTGGTCGTTGTTAGTGGCGTACCACGAATCTTTAAAGGCTATGAAACGCTGAAATGACAAAAGTGAAGGGATACGAGGATTGCGATAACCAATAGAATCACGAGAATCTTTTTCTTGTTCAGGTTAATAACTAACCTTAGGTTTTCCCCTCGGTTGACGAGGCTTGGCGCGTGGAATAGTGTTTTCAAACAGATTCTTCTCTTCGTCTCTCAAGAGGTGATACTTCATAGCTTCGATCAAGAAGTCCTGTACAGCAAATACGATTGAAGTCGATAGTCAAGACAGACGACATTAGTATTTATTCTACTGTGGGGTACCGCTTTCATGTCATATGTAGACTATTGCCTTGTCTATGGTTATTATGCGAGCTAAATGGTTGTGACATTAATGTGACGACGATTTGTTTCTTTTGTAGCAATCAGCCCTTCTTGATACGATTTATTAAAAGAAGAATATTTTATAAAACATTTGTCCGTACACTTGTATATTAAGTACACACACCTTGCAGTCCTGACTGGCTCGAAGGTCTGCTTCAACACGGCTGACGAGAAACTCTTGCGACAGAAGAGGAAGCCGTACGTGTTGCATTAGTTCGCCGAGAGCTCTTTGTCGAGTTGGTGGAGCAAAGCGTACCCAAAACATCACAGCTTCATAGACCTACCCGGTTGATTCCAGCGAAAAGAAAAAAATTCGTTACAAAAAGTAACTCAATTGGTCGTTCAGTATGAAATGCAAGATAGTTGTCTTTTTGTTTATTAAACGTAGATCTTTTATTACCAATTGCGACGCGCACTATTGTCACCTGTGACCTTCTTTTGTCTGGCATAGTTCTTACCATAGTAACCTATTCATTCTGCCGCTGTGCAAATCTAAGGCACAAAAGTCTCCGAGGGCAATTTTGGTATCACTATGAGATTTGAAGAACATTCTTTCTGAAACGCTGCTAAAATTGTGAAAGACCCATTCGTCTATGGGCGCATGTCTGGTTGACCTGCCGGATGAAAGCGAGCTTTCGATTATGACTCCTACTTTTTTGCCACCGTAATTCTTCCGGTAATACAAGCGGTTTATCTTTGTTCATTAATCTTGCTTGCTAAGTACAAATTCAAGATCCTCCAATTGTTGATAGTACATTTTAGCCGTAATCGACGAACCAGGACTCATACAATGGATAACACCTGCACTAGATCTCAAACAGACGCCATAAGCTCTGTACAGCTGTTTCAAAATGACGTCCTGTCAATTCAGTTGCATCGGCTCACTAATGTGATCGCCTTCAATTGCTGTAAAATCTGTAATTCATCACAGCCATTATTCGATGTAAAAATGAGTCACCGCTATAACATGGGAGCAGAAAGAAAGAGTCCGTGCTGTCCGTGCTCCTCGGATTTTTACTGCTTCATTTACATTCGCCTAACCTTTTTACCTTCTTAATTCAACGGAGGAGTGGATCCGTGTACTTTGAGGTGGGTCGGCCTAGGCCACAGCTTTGTACGCCCTGTTGTTTACTCTAACAAGAGATGTTCTTCTATGAAAAGTCCAAAATTTCTTTCCCGGCATTTTTGAAATTAACAGATAGTTCCGCTTACAGTAATGAATTTTCTACAGATATAAGGTTTATACAGCATATTGTCTTTTTCACTATATCCTTAGGCTGTAAGCTACAATGGTAACCGCTTGAATTTTCTAATTTTCTATGATACACAGGAACTTAACTACTGAAAACTCGAAAGCCGAGAGAACGATTCAAATTTGAAGAAGTCCAGGTGCGTTATGAATACAAATAGAGAATGCCGCCATTCTGAAGTGCAAGAATAATACTAGACGACCAAAATCGACACTTCATAAGAAAAATGCGTATTTTTTTCTATAACGGAAGAATTTCTGGCAAATATCATACATCTGTGGACCATGTTATAGGCACTCTTAATATTGAAAGAATATTCGGAGTATGAATTTGAGGCGATTAGTAAGATAAAGAGATCTGCTTGGTAGCTTCACTACTAATTTAATTAGGTTCAACTATACGTCCTACTTAATCTTAATCTTCACCTGTTCCTCGGTCTGTACGCTCAATTTGTCACTTCGAATTAATTGTGCCACTTGCGCAGCCGTTAAAGTCAGGAATTCCTCATGTTGTACCACCTGCAGGTATATAATAACTGATAGTCTTAGTAATATATTGTTCATAGTATACAACAACTGATATATAGATAGAGACAACTGATATGTCCAAACATTTTTTCCAACAATTTTATACTGACAAACATAGAACTGCGGCTCAATACGAGAAAAAAGGCACACAGTCGCCTGAGTTATGTATATAACATCAAACTATATCAAATATTTTACCTATGTATCCGCGTACGGATTTGTTCAATTTTTTTTTTTTCTATCAATATTCAGTTGAAGTCGTTGTTCTAATTACTGCATGAATGAGAGTTACCGAAGTCCTAGGAGGTTTTTCCTTCAAGCTGAGACAAAATTTGGCTAACATACGCACAACAGTACGCCGACCAATACCGTACCTCGACGAAATTTTGCTCAATGAAGCTGTCAGCGACAGCCACGAGTTCAGCACAGCCGTGTAAATCTGCAAACCTTCGAATGCCCAAGCAGTTGGAGGGATGTAACTGTCGATGCAGGAAATCGCAGCAAGCGTCTCTAACGGCCGTAAGCTGCAACATACCAGCGGCTGGCAATATCAACTGAAAACAACAACCAAGAAAATAACCATGGCACATGCAGTCAAGAGTAAATGCAGTTGAAATTACTCCATCAGAAGAAAAATAACCACGAAACACGCACAAACAGAACAATACTTTCTGGAAGATTTTCTTCGTCTATTTGCGAAGCTTAGCTTCAACTGATTTCCCTGTACCTGAACATTATCTTCGTCGACATGAATCTGGCCTGAGTAGATATAACCAACGAGCAATAACAGAGCGTCCCCTTCAAGTCCCTGCAATGTAATTGTTTCTCTCCGCTGTTCCTCAAATACAACTGGACCGGTGAACATTGCCCGAAAGTACGGTGAACACGAAGCTAGAACAAGCCGATGCGCTTTTGCTTCCACCCCACTTGCTACTAGCGTCACGTCGCATAGGTCATCTTGCCTAACAGAAAGCAATCCATAAGTTTTAGGGTCCTTCACAAAGTTCAGCCAAACACGGGCCTAAGATTAAAACAAAATGATTCGACTACATTTTTTTTTAGTTCAAGATCGATCCCCTTTGATCCGGATTAAGTACACGTTACAGACTGTAATGCACCCCGATACGTCTAGTTCAAGGGTAATCAATGATCAACGTCAATGAAAAACACCTATCTCATTCGGGTGCTTCTGCCATTTTTGTTGTACACGTTCAGATTATATCTGTCTACAATACATATTCTCAGGCGTATTTAGCTTTCATTTGAATCGCCGAACACCATTGAATTAGCTATGTTACTCAGCAGACGACAAAGTGAACGTCGTACACGAATAAACTAGTCTCATCGTCAATAGAGGCTATAAATAATAATAATAACAACAAACAATTTAGTATGAAAAGACATAATCTAAATTGCAAAAAATACAGTTTCCACGACAGGCACAGGCGTAGATAAAAACAAAACTGCGATGAAGTTTAAAGTAAATTGCCTATTGCTGACCGTAACTTCTTATAATAGAACAAAATAAGTACACTAATAATCGTTGAAATCTAACGTCGTTAAATAGGATACAGAAGAGTTTGTTCATACTCTCCGAAAACTGGCTAAACAGAAATGCAGCTCGAAATTTCACGTCTAAATATTCTGCACAACTACATGGAGATTCCTGATAAGAATTTCCTGGTTCTCAATTATTTTGAAGAATGACTGATTGAAAAACGACGTTATTGAGTTGTGTCCATATTTGTCAATAGTGTCGTTTTGCTTCTATAACCGTGTAACAAACCCGCATCTCTCACGATCACTAATTTGCAGGATGCTACCGAGTGAACTACGGGACGAAACTATTGTTTTATGGCAGGATTTGTTCAAATGACGCGAAACAGGGTTGATGAATTATCCTTCGTAACTTCTCGTACCACACGAAGGCCGATTCAGTTTTTCAAGAAAACGAGAGATCCGTCGTGGTTACGACGCCAGCGCGTCGTTTTTAGAATTCGGAGAGGTCAGCTATTATCCAATTCTTTCGCACTACATGAACCACCTTCGCCTACATAATTGGTAGCTTTTGTGCGGCTTCTAAAAGAATCGGAAAAGACTTTTGTGAGGCAGATAGGAAAATCTTCGATAGAGGCTAGATTGTAAAGAGCTCCTAAATGCCATTTTTTTTGGATCCAAAAATTAAAGGGTAACATATTAAAGAGGGGAATATCAGTCACCACTGGATCATCCAAATAGACCCAAACAGTTCTTTTCGGGAACAGTTGTGCCACTTCACAACTTTTCACTGTGCATTTTTGGGCTTTTTAGCCTACTATCAGCCCGACATTCCAGTCGGATGTCATTGTCTATATATAGCATATTTAAACAACACTTTAATTAGCCTATATATCTACAAATATCGCTTTACGCACTCCAACTATTAACAAGTTATTCGCGGATCAATCAAGCAATCTTTTATTTTAAATGACTAGTGAGTGATTTAGGTCCCGAATCGAATGTGTATAACATTCAAGAAATCTTGTTAAAATTTCTGCTTCTGTTCAAATACAGATCTAGAATTAACGCGTGAAAAAAATTAGACAGGTCATCCTGTGTATCTAGCACAGTTTTTATATAGAACAAACGCACTCGAACGACGCGGTGACCAAAGCTCGAATTGATTAGGTTCCTATAGCGTGGTTACCAGTGGATGATAATCACTCTAGCAACATACTGGAAAATTATTTTTAATTTTAAGTATTTCGTAAACACCAGGTATGGGATGGTGATTACAGATCATATCCGCCTTAGTATCTGGAACAGTGGAAGCTAAGAACAATTGTACCACCTGTCTTTTTTATCATGTCACGTACGGGTACGCAAATCACTAGAGGCAACAATATACCGCTTCTGCTTTGCCGATAATCCGCTTGTTTACATACTTTATGTAATTCTAAAACGAAATACTTCCGCCTTGCTTGGCCCCGGATCTCGTGGTTCCGCGTAATGTTCGCGTGCTTCGAAATTTACGGACAAATGAATATTACACCTTGAAAATAATTGTGCTATCGTAGTAAACTTCTTTATGCATGACCTTCCAGGCGAAATTTCAAATGATTTGTACTATGGCATACACATTAACGAACCGATTAATAAATCGGCCATTGACTAAAGAAATGACCAACTCAGTTAATACGATACGTTGGCCGGCGAAAGCCGCTATTCTGCTGCTACAGATTCCGGAACGTCCAGTTTTGCGTAAAATTTCGACCATTGGTGAGACTAGAAGTGCGCCAACATTTGATCGAGATTACTAGCGCGTCTGCGCGGACGACGACGACGACAAATAGGTATCTGAAATTTCCATTGGAGTTGGCAGTGTGGCCCAGTTGACATCAATCGCGTAAGAATCACGTTAAGTGTACCGAGCTCATCAGTTGTCCGATGGAGCGGTTGATATACACGGACGGCCTTTCAACAAAGTCTTATGTCTATTACTTTGAAAACGTTCATGTTCTTCGAAAAAAGCAGACACCTCTAATATTTTTTTTTTCGTTAAAGCGATAAGTCATAACTGGTCCTAACTTGATATAAAACAGGCTGGGACTGTCGTTTCAAAATTCGCAGTATATTACAAAAATATTACAGTGTGCGCTTTCAGATAGGCTGTATTGTATAAACTGTCCAATTATATTCATTCAGATAGCTTTCATTTTTTTTAGATATTCTATCATAGCTTGTGAAAATGTATGCATCTAATTGGAAAGTTTGCAATGGAGGTGCACAAATGACCACATAATATGATAGAATCTTAGAAATAAAATAAGACACCAATATCAAAATGCAAACATCCTACGTATTCGCATGGGTACGATTAGACAAGTCTGTTCTACAGCTTACGCTAATATGTACCATCACTAACCGCGCAAACGACGTGTTTTGAAACGGCAATTTTGGCCTACAGTAACTCAATTTAGGATTGATTTCGACTCGTATTGTTATCACTTCAAGGCTAAGGCTCTAAAAAAATACTAGAAATAGGAAACGCTCGAAAATGTATGGTTGGCTAGAGGGAAATGTCAATGCACCCTACCAGCCTTTACAAAGCGTATCCTGGATTAAAATATATCATAAATCAATCGTTCGTCACTTTAGTTACTACGTCAACTAAAGGAAGGACAAACGGCTTCGTTAAAAGGTTCGGTAGCAACCTATGATTTAGTTGATGTTTTTCCAAAGGAGCTCGAACATTGCGATTGTAGTACTGCGAATCGAATGGCAATGATAAAGGCTAGCTCATCTGCTCGGCTTTATTCTGAGAGGAATCATTCCCCCTTGTATTTATCTATTGAAAAATACGAGGAATTCAAACTTTCGAAGTACACATAATGGCAGACGACGCATTTCGAAATTCAGCTCTGATAACTCACTGTCTCAAAGAATTCATAATATCGAATGCGCGATTTGTGTGCTCGGGGTTCTTAAACGCAGCTGGAGGAGTCCGCAATTGACCATCAGCGCCATGTTGCTCCAATTTAAGAGCGAGATCTGATTGCCTGCAACAGAAAGAAACGGCAAATAATGATTCTTATTAGCGATATTTAGAAAAATATTCAAAAGAATAGGCCTCCCGCCTGTTGCTGTGAGCGAAACAAGCTTCTTGCAAAGATGCTGCTTTGCGAAGACTTCAGACCTAGTAACGAAGAATAATTTAGGAGGGCGTCACATATACATATGTGAAATGTATGTATCCGCATGGCAATGCGATATACGCTTAAAAGCGATCACTACCCATTGTCAATAGTAACTATAGGTTGCGCGGCTAGTTTATCGATCGCTTCCGTCTATTAAAATAATAAGTTATTAGATGTCTTTACTTTGTACAGTGGAAATATTTTCTTAAATAATGAAAAAAAAACAAAACTTTTAGCAGTAAACTATAGCAGATAAGTAAGTGTAATGTTACATATAGGGACGTGTCGGCTCGTCGAAAAAGTATCAACCGTTTCAAATTAAAATGAAAACAAATCTACATTTTGTATTTTAGAATAATATTGCTAAACTACATACACGCTATTTTGATTTACGAACTTCCGGTATTTCTGGGAATACAATAATCCCTTCACCATGAGTGGTTCATGAGAACGTGCTTTTTGCGCTTTCTTCATTGAAACTGAATCAACAACATTGAAGGTTTTTTTCGGATACCGAAACAATTGACAGTTTAGTGGTGCAATATCCGGGATATGCGGATTTATTAAGATTTCCCAGCGAAGTTCTTTAATTTTCTGCTGCATAATTTTAGCTGCTTTGTGCAGAGCTCTTGTTTTGTGACGCGATCACACCAACTTATAATATTATAAGTTGGTGGTATTATAAGCAAAGTCATGTATTATGACTTTGCTTTAATCTTGTCAAATACGCAACATTACGTTCCGTGGCGTCAGGCTGGTTATTTGCCACAAATCGTTAAGTATTTATTATAGCGCATTATTGGTGAATGTGATCCACTTGATCCACCACTTCAGAAATAGCTCGATTTTGTTGCATTTCTTTAGGGTCTCGCAGATGGAAATACGACCCAGTAGGCTCATTTACGTGAATTCGTGTGGCACCCAAACATTCAGATAGCCACTTTTCTGCAAAAGATTTGAAAGCGCTTGGTAAGCGTGGATTTTTAGTTTCTTGACAATATTATGGGGGTTCAGCTACCGGTCCTACGGTAAATTTTTCTTAACTAACTTTCATATTGAAATTTCCGAAACGAAAGCAATAGAACTATTTTTAGCCCATTTGTTCTGATAGCAGTCTACTTCTGATGATCTTGACGCATTTGTTTATGGGCCTGGAAGCATTCGTTTTTTTATTATAATGAAACTGTGAAATGTAACGGATTTTTGCAGAAATTTTACACATCTTCAAGGCGCTTTATCCAAAATGCAAATCAAGCCATTTCAACAATCTAGCGCAACTTCCCCTGCCGGCAAGTCTCAGCCCTCGAATGACACATACGCGTCTTTAAAGCCACCTAGCTAGAACAACGGTCAATATTCTTTTCGACAAGCCCATAATTGAGCGAGATTCCTTTAAACAGAACTAACAACAAACCACATATTTGGACTTCTCATTTATGCAACCTATCGCATCTTTGAAAACGATATCAGAGAGTGCTAATAACTCCAACGCTTATTTCAGTTCAGGATACCTGGATTCATTCCAGGTTGTTGGCAATTAGCGTGTTTGGGCCATTTTGCCAAACAGTCGAATAAAACACTGCTTTTAACAATAATAGTCGTGTATTCGTAAAGAAATATTCAATAGCACTTTCATTTCTCGTCATCGTGTACCACTCAAGTATATGTCCTACGAATTTATGATCAAGCTTGGCGTACACTCAGATAGTCGCTGTATGGTAAAACTATTTGAATATGTTAAACCACACTGTGTTTCGATCCAATACAAGTGCAATTTGTTTATGTTTCTTCTAAATTGACTTCCTGCTTGTGTAGACCATCGCCGTGATAAGCTGGTACGTAACGTATTTGCCTGCTAATCTTAGGGACACGTTATGGTCTAGGCACACTCCGTTTCGTGCTACAAGTTAGCCGCCTTATAGAAGGCCTAACGACCTTGCCAAACATGAAACTCGAAACGTAGAGGATTACCCGATTCAATGTCTTCGTTATTCGCCAAAGGAACCTTTTCCAAGCGGTTTGATAATCGAAATAAATGGGATAATTACGGGCGACGACTGCATGTAGATCGCAAACACGAGGTTGCCAAGCTGTACTGCTCAATACTCACTTGGCACTCGAGTGCACCGCAAACATTTTCTATGTACATATTGTATAGATACAATTGCCCAAGCTTACATATGACGCACGCTTCGATAAAAACATTACCACCGATTTCACTGTTATGACTCTTGTTTCCAGATTATGTTATAACCAACTATACGTATACATTTGCCGAACATTAAAATACTTAACAAAATGTGTATAAACAGGCAACTAACAGCGCGATAAAATCGTTTGCAGTTATATTACCTAGTAAACTCAATACACTTCGGCTGTGAGTATTACAAGGGGCGCGCTTAATTACGCGTGCATGCTATTGGGCGCGTGTATTCTTGAGCGTAGCGTTCTATACATGTTCAGCTACCTATTATATTTTGATTAATATTGTCACCTAGGCACTGTCGAGGTGTTCGTCTCGGAAGCTGTCAATGATAGATAAATTACTACACTGAAATAAAACAATGACACAATATACAACACGGTGGTCAACGTGTCGACACTACCCAGAACATACCTAACCACAATACGCACATATGTATTATATTATTTTTTTTGTAGCTTATCTCACCGACGGAGACTGACTACCAGTTATTACGTAGTTCTGTTGCTGAAGCAAATCGTTCCGACTACAATAGCACGTTTTCTTGTGATGTCGTTCGCAGCGAGATCAGTTGTTGGACTTTAAGAGAAGTTTCGTTGCTGCTAATGTGAATCAAGTACAATGTTCGTGACTCTGAATTTTCCACGCTTTCCAACGCATCGATATAGTTCCATAAGTGTCTCTCAATTAGCGCTGTGCGATTGTACCCAACGCCATTATAGTGTACACTCATATACGCACGTAATAGTGCGTCAGCCATTATGCGTATTCTTAGTTGTAGGGAGCTATCCCTGAACGGGAAACGTTAAATTATCCGCTGATAAGGATTCAGGTGAAACCTTACATTGCACGCGTTCAATGCAAAGCGCACACGCGCAGTTGCCTGTTGTGGCCAGAAATAAGGAAAACAGAATAAATCTTTCGCCCGGTCGCCGAAATCTGCATATGTTAGTAGAAATACAAGAAAATGTTACGAAATACACATGTGCGATGTTAAAGCCTTTGGTTTACATGTACTGCAAGAACAATATTGGAAGAAGCACATCGGTACAATGTTTCAACTAGATTACGTTTTAGTACTTCCTAGATTGTATTGGTTACGACGACCTACTGTATGAGACAGCGGGGAACAACATCTTATTTGCTGGCAGTGATAGGTCGCACAGTTCTAATATTCCGTATATAACAGGTCGAACGTCTTCTTCGAATCTTCCTCGTGCCGAGAAACAGCTACATACCGCGTATTTCCTTTCGTTTGACCTTACCCATGTAAGCTACGTCCTACAGTTGCAATTTTCTAATGAGAAGAAAACAATTGAACGGACGATTTTCTTTTTTGCACCATCAGAAAGCCATTAAAGTTTCACCAAAGGTCACACCGCTGCCCTGAGCAGATATATAGATTTCCTTCGGTACAACTGCTTTCACTTTTTTAATATGAGCTCTACGGAAAACTGAGTGAGAAACCTTTGGTTCTGTAAGGATTTTTTTCTCACTATTTCCGTACACAAAACAATTTTACGTTTCGAACAAAAGCTAACAGTGGTAACGGTAATCATTTTGGGATTGATACATTGAAACAGACAAACCATAGCCATATTTGTTTACTATGCAGTAGAACCGAGTACGAAGGAAATATGACGTGTATACGACGTTCACATTACCAAGGATTTCCTTAGCTAATCAGTAATTCAGTCAGCAGAGGAAAAGCTAGAGTAAAGATGAGAACGAACATCTGTACCGGAAATTACCACGAGCCCTCTTTTTGCTTTTCTCTGTGACATCTAACGGTTAGTAATTCCGATCTGCCCTGGCCAAGTGCAAATTTTGCTGCTCGAACTGTACTAGCGTTGCACCACTTCGAAAAATGATATATGTTCGTTTTTTTTTTTTTTTTTTATGTTTTACTAAACGTTCAACGATTTACACCGTACTACACGGTGAGGCGTGGCGGCTAGATTTTCCTAGCGAAAATAAAATGTTCCTTGTTGTGGCATACGTATAAGCGCACAAGCAATGATGATTATACCCTGTCATAATGATACTCTTATGATTGAGTTGCCCTAGTTGTTGTGGTCTCATTTTGGCTGAACCGCTCTTAACCGCTGGTGCCTATTATGTTCGCAATGATGCATCTACATATAGCAAATAAGCCAAGTAACGCGAATATTAGAGCAATCACTGTTGTTAGTCTTCTATGGATACCTTATTTTAAACCTACAACATGGACACCTTATGTGTTGCATGTTAGGCTCCGGCCAGGATTCATTCTTTCACAAACCCTACGATAGTGCTATTTCGAAGTAAAGTATCGTCAATACGACAGATGATTATGTAACGATACATAACTTAGCACTCTACGGGTAGATGTGATTCGAGTCAAATAAGGTTTAACAACACATCCAGAGGTTCGAAAGATTCATATCATGGCTAAATAATAACTAAATGATTTATATGAGCTTGTATAGGAGCGAATATGTTGCTCAAGTATAGATTTTCAGCTCGGACCACCTGTTTCCGGAATCTTGATTCAAGATTCCGTAGATAGTCAACATGATTCGTGTTGATTATGTCTAAATTGTATACGTCTACTAACTCAGCGATCAGGGAGCGTGAGCCGCACAGGTGCGCTTATGGACCATAGCATAATTTCAGCAATATCTAAAATATCATCTAATGTCAAATCTAGCTAGTAGTTTAAGCGATAAACCTCTCCCCATGCTGTAGGTACCACTGTTAGTGATCTGAATAAAACAATACATTGAAATCTACAATTTTCATCATTTTACTGTTACCGAACGCATTGTTAGATACCGTCAAAGCGAGTTCTGATAACCACCTTTTATATTTGTCGTCACAGACATCCAATTGTGAGCTAACGTATGTGCGAAGCCAATGAAAGATAGTACTAACGTTTTCATGCTTACCGAGAGGGTTTACCGAGAATAGCTAAACTATCTATACATCTGTCGCGCGGACATATACACATAAGTAGAGGGCAAATGCATATTTTTATTGATATGCAAGAACACAAAAAGCGTGACACGTAAAACGTACTAATCCACAAAGACTCATAATTGTTAGCCAGAATATCTAAGAGTTTTAGCTAGTTTTCGTCCGATAATCTAGCGATGTATTGAAAACTTCAGGACACAAAGATTGGTAGAGGCGCATCTTTGAGAGAGCACTCAAAATCGTAAACAACTAGAGATTTCAATGTTCTTAACGTTACTTCATTTATGCTCGCTACAATAAAGGCCAATAAGTAACAATTATAGTGCCTATTCGACATCTGACGATAGTAGCGAGTCAATGAAAGCATCAAAATACGATAGGATAGTATAGGCTGAAGTGCTTTTCTCATACTCACGTGAGGTACTCTGAAGATTCCGGTAAAGACATCGTCCCTTACTCTGGTGATCGTTATTTTTTCGTAAGCTTGTTGAACAATTATTTTTCTGTTTCTGTCATTACTTTTTTGCCCTTTGCCCCTCTTTTCTTTCTGCCGTCAGTAGCAGCAAAAATTAGACAAATAAACAGCAATCAGGTAAACAACAATCCTGTAATTATTTCTCCGATCTTGTTCCGTTTCTAATTTTTTTAAGCGTTCCACATGTCAGTTTGAAATTTGACGTACCTATCACATGAGCACTTTTATCTTTGTAAACGTATTCTGCAATTGAATTTACTGATACGTTGCCGCATGCCCCTTATTTTTCTCGCTGATTTTTATCTCACAGACGAGTGGATTGGATAACCTACGAAATCTTCAACACGACCACCAAAATTCAACAACAAAAACAAGAACTCAGCAGAAAATGAGTCACTTTAGATGAAGACTTCTATTCACTCTTTTATTCTAGTTATATCATCGTAGTATGGTAGTATATTCTGTTTCTGTTTTGGATGACTGAAGACACCCGTTGTTGCTGCCGTTGTTGTCGTCGCCGTCGTTGTTGTTGTTGTTGTTGTCGGTGGTCGCTGAGCACCTGCAGAGTCGCTGTCAGTGCCCCTGTGGTGGCCTGCTTTGATTTAACGGTTGCTTCCAACAGCAGCGTTGTCGGACGCGAGTCTCCTTTTTGGGTGGCCGTGTTTATTACGTTAGACGTACATGGCGGCAGATGTGAGACTGCCACGCCTGCGAGTATCTCGGCTAGTAAAGTAGATACGTTAAATGTGCCACCCGCGCCGTTACGGCAGCTAAACCAGCTGCAGCAACTCTGTCTAGGGGCGTCTACCTGACGATGCCACAGACCGATAGTGCATTACACAGTTCGGATGACAACACCCTATTATGGTAATTACACTCGAAGCCAGTGATGTATAAAGATCACTATTAAACTGGAATTAGTACCTCTATTATTCCGATTGTTCTTGTTGATCGTAATAAAGATCCTCACTATAAGTCGTTGAACTAGCCTTATCTTGCGCTATTAAACGCTTCTCTTTTCATATCTCCTTAATGGCAACCTCCTTCGAGAAGAAGACGTTACCAGCATTTCTCTTCCGGGCAACACCCGTTCATTAGAAATCGTTACGGCTGTCATATAACCACTCGCCGGCAATATAAGTTCAGTCGCACAATAAAACTCAGTCATTTACTACCGCAACAGAACCAGCTGATCATTTTCGAGTCCTCATGCCCCAGCATTACGCACAACACGAACAGCAGTTGCTCAGTATTCACTTGTTCAGTCATGGCCAAAGTAGTATATACGCACGACTAAAATAGAACTCACGCAAATAACTCTATCAACATCCGCAGTGGTTCCAGGAGCAGGGGAAGGCGCAAGAGGACGCACGATTTCGACTGTTTTCGGCCCATCCGTCCTTTCGGGATACGCCGTTGTTGTCGTCGTCGTCGTCGTCATTGATGATGACGCTATGTTGAGGTCATGAGTTTTGTTTGGCGGCTGTCAGACTCAGCATTGTAGCCTAAGACATAACATCTGGCAGCTTGTAATAGCATTGTGAATTCCAGCTTAATTATGAGTGACCGTCCGTGGGGTATTTGCACATTAAATACTCTTGGAGGGCGTATCTTACGAGCATTACGCTATCGACGAGGACGTAACAAACATTTCTACAGTGAGTAATACTTGAAAAGACAAAGCAATCCGCATTGAAGGGTGGTTGTAGCAGCAGCAGCAGCAGCAGTTAGTGGTAAATTGAAATTACTAGCCAAGTTCTATTGTTGGGTAGTTCTCCAACCGAGAGATTGTGAATGTACGATACATGAATACCGTGACAGTAGCTTTGCCGACAATCCAGTGCGTCAAGTAGTAAGCTTGCCATCCATTCTTCTTTATTAGTCCTCTATTGTACTATATTGCAGTGAAATAGTTTGCGTTGTGATCACAAGCCGTTTGGCTGTGGGCATTAAGCCAACGGAGGAACGGTAAGCGAGCTCACGGTTTCCCTCCCCCTCACTTCACTCGCCCATTAACGTCCAGCACGCACCGGAGTTCCACTCGCTCCCCCGCGCGCGCCACTTCGCTCCACACAGCACGTATTGTGCAAGCACCATCAGCAATGAACGTTCGTTATTATGTTTCTGTTGTGTTACTGCTGCTGCTGTTTGTTTCGGCATCTCTACCAACGCACACAGTCGAAAGAATGAGCAGACGACGCTGAGATATTCGACTCAATATCGAATGGGTGAATGAGTGATTCAGGTTCCGTCCCGCCGTTTGAAAATAGAAGACCGAACAGTTGAACGCGGCAAATGAAGGTGGCAAGGACATCAGGCAAGCGAGGTATAGTTGAAAGTTAAACTTACACACTAGAATGAAAGGCTTCAGAACAACTTGATTGGCATCTGTCCAGCGTTGAACTGTTGCCAGACAATGATATGTGAAGTGAGGTAAAGCGAACGATCGAAAACAAAAAAAAAGTCACTGAAAGCACCGCACGTTAGTAATAATATTATCATTATGAAAATAGTAATTGTGATACTTTGCTAGTGACAGCGAATTTCCGGGAAAGTTCAAATATAGAACATAGTTTGTGTCATTACAACGTAATATATGACTTTCTTGATTCACACAGATCGCTTAATGGGCACCGTTGACAAGACGTCAACAAGCAATGACGGCTGATCCTTTTTGACACCATTTTGCACTTTATTTACTTATTAGGCGCCGTATATGGAAAAATATACCTTGTAATCATTACTGGAAAACAATATGCTTCTTGCGCAATGGTTTTAAGTTTAACCAGAAGACGTTGCGAAACACAGCGCAACTTTGGCTGCAAGCACGACATGTTACCCGAAAGATTTTGTCTAAAATAAATAGAAAAAAAAAACAAGCAAATCATGAAACTAAACATGCAGCACTGCTTCACTCGACATCGTGGTTTGCAACTAAAATTATCTGGCGCAAAGCGGTGACCAAGCTTGCCCTCCGAATTTCTGTTCCGTTTTTACTTAAAGTAAGCGATCATAGCCCACAATCTAATAATAGGTAGCCGTTTTAAATTAAACACGGGAAGCCGACTCTTATTTATATAGTAGGTGTACAAAACGTTTACCGGCGCAATCGAAAACTCGCAAAAAGTAGGCTACGTATATAATCAGGCGCGTGGCGTATGGCGATATCGTGCATATGAAGCAATTAGAGGCGGCTATATTTATGTCATACATGAAGTTAATATGCATAACTTTTAAGCATATTTTATTTAGCACAGTTCACCATAGATTGCACACATGCGCAATGTACCTGCCATATCGCCGATTTTTTTCTAGCTCATTGGGTGGAATTGTAATTATCACTGATTGACCTATAATTATCTCATTGTTGTGTGTCTTTAGTATCCAAGTTATATAATTCATTGTCGAACGAAGTATCCCTAGTAAATCGGAAAGACGTTGCTGGAGCGCAACAAAAATATTGACGCGTGAGTTATGATTTTCTGTGGTATCGACGAAGTTGAATACAGCTCGAAGTATGGTCGGCTTCCTTCAAATGAGGTGGCAAATCTACCCACTAAACAATAGCGTCATGTATCTATTGTTTGGCTATTCGGTACAAAACTGCTATGCTCTAAGCTCCGACTAAACTTCCACACAGTACTATTGACATTAATTTTCGCCGCCATAAATTAATAGGTGATAATTAAGCCGTAAGAAATTGTCAAATGATTAAGCAACTGTTGTTAACTATGATTTGGCACTATACAAAATACATCTTGTAACATGCAAACAATCGCGCATCTGTTCATGATTGTCGACATACCGTTAGGAACGTTTTTGAAGCCCCCGTAGCAAATTATCAGAAAACTGCAGCACGGTCTAACTTGTCTTGCCACTGCTAGCATCACTCAAGAACATTGTCAAAGGACAAAGTACAAAAGAAATTTCCGTTCTTTATTTTTACCAGGGTAGAAAATTTCCAATAAGCCAAGCTAGGCTTTACCAAATCTGCATACACTATATGGCTTCAAAACAAACGAAGTAGCTGGAAAAACCTTGAGGCCTGAAGGTCGCTAATATCACATGGTTTGATAGTACCCGAACGTATGTTTAAAATTAAAATGTTCTTCGGTATCATACTCTCGCTTTTAGGTGAATAGTGGTGACACAAAAAAGAAAATTTCCAGATTTTGCAACTGCGGAGTTCACTTCGAAGTTCTATACGTTCAGCTGTCCCGTATTTTTAGCTATTCGTTTCTTCATCAACCTTCTATAGCTTGCCCTTTGATTTCTGCTTAATATTAGAGAAATAAGAAGTGGAAGTGTACACTTAAAAATCGAATGCGGAAGACATTAAATAGGCAAGCAGATGCCTTGAACATTACAGTCTGTTCAATTATAAAGTGAATAAAGTCAAACACAACACATATTAGAACGATTCCTCTTCGGCGGACGAGAGATCATTTGAGAGGAACTATTCATTTTAGTTTCTTAGTCCTTAGGGAATCATTTTCGCCATGAGATATGATGATATTCGAACGTAACTGCAGTACTCTTTGCACCTTGTAATAGCGGTATTCAAGCTCTAGCTACCACAGATGTCAATGAGAGATTGCCAGACTCAAATTGCAGACTTCTCGTTTGCGAGAGATCTCGCGAAGCGACTCCTTCAGGTATGGTTCAAGCTGCTTCGTAAGCAAACCTTCATCCAAACCCTGTAACAGGAAACGCAGCAAGCAAATAGAAAATTATAAGTGATTTGTTTAACTTGGTACTGAGCTTCGTAGGTCTTAATATACTCTTAAGACTTGCTACAAGATAATGTGTTAAAGAGAGCCAAAAATAGGAATATAAGTGCACTTTTACGACGATTTCAAGGTCTTTCTGAAACTTTAAGCTACATTTTGGCATCTGCATCATGACAACAGTTTGCAGTTTATTAAGTTTTTAATTCTCATCAGGAAAACCAACGTCATGGCCGTCTAAACATTTTTAGAAGTGTGACATAAACTATAAACTGTTAGATGAGTATGTTTCATCTTCTCGA